TTCCGAGGGGTTCCGCGCCTCAGCAGGAAACCAAACAAGTCCAAAAGAAAGCGGAACCCAAACAAAACCCAAAGAAGAAACACAGGTTTGTTGAGCACCCACGAGCTGCACGGAATGTGGGGACCTGTGCGAGGCGCTTGTGAACATGAAGCCGCGTGCAGAAATCCTGTGAAAGTCCTGGGTTTAGGGTTTAGGGTTTAGGGTTTTTGTATTTTGGATTTTAGGGTTTATAAACCCTAGGGTTTAGGGGTTTAGGGTTTAGGGCTTTAGGTTTAGGGGATTAGGGCTTCGGGTTTAGGGCGTAGGGGTTAGGGTTGAGGGTTTAGGGTGCAGAACAAACCCTAGGAGGCAGGGTTCAGCGACTGAGGTGCTGAGGGTTGAAAATTAGGGGCAAGGCGTTTTGGGAATCCGGTCTTTAGGGGCCTGAGTATATTGGATGCAAGGGGTGAAGGATTGAAAAGGCTTTCATGGGTGCAGGGTGCAGGGGTTTGGGCTTGGTTTCTTTCTTTCAGGCACGGCTTTCACCCAGATAGCTGAACTCATGACCAAAGATTTCCTGGCATGCTGAGCCCAGAGTCGTCCCGAGAGCCGATAACCAAGAACTAGCGAAAACAATCCAGCACCATGAAATCCCCAAATTCCTAAGACCACCGAAGGTGTGAAAAAAGACCTCTGAAGCCCCAACACCCTACCAGGCCCTAAGCTTTGCTCCACCACTCTGCAAGGAAGTGAAAGCTAAACCCTTTCAACTCAGAACCTTTCGAACGTGTGGAAGCCGCAGATACGAATACAAGTTCGGTAGTGTGGAGCTCTGAGACTCAAACCTCCAAACCCTAAGCCCCAAACCCCAAACCCTGAGCTCCAAACCCTAAACCCTAAATCCTAAACCCCAAACCCTAAACCCTAAACCCCCAAAACCCTAAGCCCGTACACCCTGGAGGGCTTTGGGGTTTAAGGCCATTAGGGCCTGAGGGTTTTTTGCGATTGGAAACCCGACTGTCGGATCCTTCAAACCACCTATCTATTAAAAAAACCCTATCAACCCCTACAGCACCCAGGAAACCTCAGAACAAAACCCTTGAAACTTTTTTTAGACCGTTCAAACTACCCAGAGGCTCCATAGTAGTTCCTTTTTGGGATTAGCTTATAAGATTCTAAATATGAACCATTAAAAGGAACTACTTAGGAGCCTATGGGTACTTCCCTTCCGGAACTTGCCAAGGCGCCTCAAATGCAGAGGCTTCCATCCTCAAGGTTGCCGCGGAGCGTCGCTCCTGACATTTCTCTTAATGCTAAGGGGCCTTAATTAGAATCGGGTTTTGGGGGTATGTTATGGTTATAATTATAAGAAGCCCCGCCCAAAAAAAAACAAACAGATAATTATAATAATAATAATAGTAGTAGTAGTAGGGGTATGTTATGGTATGGTTATAATAAGGAGCCCCCCCCCAAAAAAAAAAAAAAAAAAAAAGAGTAGCATAGTATATAAGGTGCTCATTTAGTTGAGTCCACAAGGCTTGCTCGGCTTGCTAAGGGTTCTCATAGGGCTCCTCTAAACAGGGAGCTCCTTCGGCTCTCGGGCCCGACAGTCGTTTTACAGAGTTTTGTTACCCTAAACCCTAAACCCTAACCCCTAGACCCTAACCCCAGGAATAAGGGCTTTCGGAGTTCGGCGGTTTGTTGGTTTCAAGGGTTTAGGGCTCAGGGTTTAAGGGTTTAGGGGTTTAGGGGTTTAGGGTTGAGCGTTTAGGGTTGAGCGGTTAGGGTTTAGGGTCTACGGGTCTTGGTTTACGGGTTAGAGGGGCTTGGGTCGGGTCGCAGGATTCGGGGGTCCAGGGCGAGCCACAAAAGCCAATGGTTCTTTGCAACTCGCCGCTGCTAACAGGCTCTCGAGCGCAGGGGCCACATCTCCCATGCATCCCCACTGCGGAACTGAGGGGAGGGAACTTGCCAAGAAAGTGGATTGGACACACTGAGGCATCGTACTTCAATAGAAGAGCCAAAACCAACTATAACCAACTAATGGCGACAGGAGCAGGTAGCGATGACGATAGCTTCCAGAGTATCGGAACAGTATGTGTGATGTATTTGGTAGTTGTTTCCAATCCGGAACTTCTTCAGCTCCGCTCCCATCTCCCCAAGCACACCCTTTTGCGCTGTGCTGGCGCAAGCCGCTCAAGCACTAGCGATGGGTGGCAACTCACGACTGCACTCAGGTCCTTCGGTTTAGAGGTTTAGGTGTTTAGGGTTTAGTCGACTTAAACATTTGTTTTAAGGACTCGGAATCTAAGACCATAAATTCTTAAACCCTACACCGTGGAGGGCCGTTAAACTCCATAGCCCAAACTACTAAAGCCCTCTTATGTGCGAAGATCCTGAACCCTAACCCCTAAACAATACCTAGTATAGGGGCCTAAATAATTTCCTGTACTATTTTGGGTGCTCCTGATTATAATTATAGTGTAATATACCCTAAAACCCTATTCTGATTCTTAAGGCCCCTAAACCCTAAACCCTAAATAGAACCCTTTAAGGAACCCTTTAAAGAAGCCCAAAACCCTATTCTGATTCTTAAGGCCCCTACCTTAAACACTACAGACTCAAACCCTTCAAGCTCCAAACCTAGGAGTTAGGATTAGGGGGGGGCCCTTGGGGATCTCAATAAGGCCCCTTTTAAGAGAGCCAGAAGAAGGGTCAAGAAGGGTCCCCTTTAAGGGGTCTCCTTGATGCTTCCTAGTTTTTGCGCGAAGTCAGAGGTTTTGGTTACCTACTCAGCTGTTGAGGTGTGTACAGGAGCTGGTTGCTACTTGCCTGATGCTTGTGTAACCTTTCTGCGCAACTTCTGCTTCTTTCGAAATGAGTTTGTATACGTATGATAAAGTTTAGAGATTTCCCTGTAGCGTGGCTAAGACTGAACAACTGCGCGTAGTTTTAGATAAGCAAAACAGCTCCGCTGTTGCACGCTGAGTCGTAGCAGTGTAACGGAGCAGGTCAACGTTTGCACCGTTCTGGCAGCCCAGTTTTCTATTCCGGACAAGGCTTTCAGGGGAAGGTGGGTCACTCCTTTCTTTCAGATCTCAGATCAAACATGTGCTAAAAGAAACACAAGCACAGGACAACCGAGTCTAGTTATTGCTTGTGCCAGATATCCTACATAGTATACCTGGTGGCACAATGCGGCCAAATAAAGAACAGCTCGGCACGTACTTCGACTCTTTACACTCATAACGAATGGCTTTGCACCATTGTGAGGTTAGGCTTTGGGGAACCTAAACTTCGACCTGAGCAGAGAGGTCAGACTCGTCGGAGTCATGTCAGCTACACGATCAAGACGGAAGCGGCGCCGCCTACGTTTTTCTGCACGACGCTTGGGACCACGTGCCTTGGCTGCTACACATTAGTCGTGAAGCTTTCATGTGTGAGCAACAGAAACAACGTGAGCCCGTGAAATGAATACTGTCGAAATTTGACACTCCATGACACTCCACAACGATGATGTTGCCGTACATGGTGCAACTCAAACCCCGGATGACCACCTCCGATATAAGGATCGTAGTAGCGACGACCTTGCTGTTCTAATTCTACCCGCGGAGCCCCAAACAACCCCCGAACATAAGACCCTTATATGTATATTAAGAACCGCTCCGGAAATCCAACGAAAACAAAAAACCGCGAACCCGACAGTCCCCAAACCGTACTGAAACCCCAACAGGCTGCCCTGAAGGTTCAGAGGTCAGGGCTTGGGGTCTAAACTCCAATTGCGCAAACTCCCTTAACGTTGAGGCCTTGAGCCCAAAGCCGTGCAAGCAAAAACCTCAGCCCTTCCCTCAAACCCTAAGCCCTCAGCCCTAAATCCTAAACCCTACAAACCCTAAATCCCTAAACCCCATAAAACCCTAAACCCAGCAGACCCAAAGAATCCCAAGGTGCATGTAGCCACAGAATTGCGACCACGGTGAGAAATCCGACTTCGAGGGGTCGCGGATCCTAGGCGTCACGTTCTTTAAAACCGTTATCGGTTTAGGGTTTAGGGTTTAGGCTTTAGGCTTTAGGGTTTAGTTGTTTGTGTGTGAACTTGTTGTGTGTGTGCGCAGGCTCTACTAATACGGTGTGGGGTCTTGGGGGTATTCGGGCTCAGGGTTTCGGGTGTTCTAGGGTTGTAGAGAGGGTGCCTTAGAGTTTCCGCCCCAATTGCACCTTTGCTGTGGTTCTGATGATTCCTATCGTTGTTCGCATTCCCGATGAGATGTTGCTTCCGAATGCTTCCGCGGCTATAAGTTCTGCAGTCGCCTTTCTTATCGACTGCAACGGACAGTATCTTTGCTGCGTTATGTCGAGAAGTATGATCACTATTATTGAGACTGTTATAGCACCATCTGATTGCTGCTGCTGCCGCTGCTTTTCGAATTATTGGTAGTTCTCCACATTAGGGTCCCGTTTTAGGTCCCCAAAAAGAGTACGGCACCCTTGTAAAAAGGACCCTAAAAAAGGGATCCCAATTTAGAGAGCTACCCTTTTGACCTACCCGAAACCCCAGTTCCTAAACCCTCAGCCCCCGGAACCCTCGAGAAGTCCAGTTATGCAAGTCCGCGACATCTCAACACAAAGCCAGCAGCACCAAAATCCGTTCAGCTCCAATTCCGCACCCTAATCAGCGCGACAAAATAAGACACTAGAATAGAAATTCGGTGTAGACTATACTATACCTATAAGAAGGAACCGCCAATATAGTCTTGATAATTAAATTATCTAGCCTCCTACATTAAACCATCAACCCCAACCACCCCAAAACATAAATCCGAAACTTGAAGAACCCAAAATCCCAAACCCAAAACCCCAA